CTTAATCTTGTATGTTATAAGCTGTGTTGTAAGCTATGTTATAAGCTATGTTGTAAGTTATGGTGACTAATATGCCATAGATCTACAGACCAGTTCTACTCTGAATGTGTAGAGTATGAAGTGTTTTCTACAAAAATTCTATGTGTAGTTGGGAGTAGGTAAACAGACAGGATAGTCTGGGAGGACTGGACAAACAATTATTATTACATGAGGACTGACTTGATATTAAAGTGGTGATAGCAAGGCAGATCTCATTCATATATATACACACATACACATATGTATGCATACATATGTGTATGCATGTGTGTATCCACCTGTGTGTATATATGGTAATCAGTGAAACAGAGGTAATAGAAGAAGATAGGGATTAATTAACAGGTCCGTTCTTTTCACAAAAAAAGACCAAAATAATCCAATTTCATAATCATCATAAAATCTAGCTAACCCATAAAATAGAAACCCAACTACTAGAATAAAATCAAACTGAAACAATATCCCTAAAGACACTTACAGTGCATGAAGAGCTCTCTGTGATGACTGTTAGTGGAAGGATTCTTAGCTGAGTTGTACAGGAGAATCTTGCCTCCTGCTCATATGCTGTTCTCATTCTTCACATTATTACAAGTCTTTACTCCTGGGCACCTTTCACCTAAGTCACATGAATATAAAATGAAAAGGAAAAAGTGAACAGGCTTTTGTTTTCTGAATGAGAATATTTTTTTTTTAAGTTAGTGAAATATTTTCTCAAATTAAGTAAGTAGAAGAGGCCTCTGGGTCACAAATGGGTCACAGTTCTGGGAATCAGAAATTGCATCTCTGGCAAAGGTTCATATGTAAGAGTAACTCGGGTACATTTTACCCACTCCTTGCTAGCAATCCATTCCCTCCAATTTAGACTGTATGATGTGCTTTTATATGGAATGAATACTGGATATTGAATACTTAAAAGCAAAAGTGATGAACAGTTAATACCAGACTTCTTTCCTCTTTCTCTAGTTGCAAGAGAAACATCCATTAAAGAATCCCTTATTTGCCATTAGGGTATTAAGCTGGAAAATGAGGCCTGTCAGTAAACAGACATTCAGAAAACTCAATGCCTACCAGCCCACAATATGATTGAAAGCTTGTTAGCCCTCGGGTAGGTGTTCTTATTTGGGATTAAAATAGCACTAGTTCTTGCAGTATAACCCCTTCGGGAATATTTCAGTTAGAAGTGACACTCAAGTAGCAACTGATGTCAACTTTGCAGCAGACGTAGCTGTTCAGGCATACAGGCTTAAAGCAATGGTCTGCTCTAATCAGTTAAACAGAACTGGCCAGGTACAAAAAGCTTTAATTTGGAAGTACTCCCACTTTTAATTGCTGGTGTTGTCATCCACCCCTGAGGTGCTTAACACCGCTTGTGAAGCAGAAGGAATGAGCTCAGCTGCTCTGCATGCAGGCATCACCCCCAGCGCTTTCCCAGTGCTTCTCTGGGTCCCCGGAAAAGGGTAGACCCTCTCTCTAGAAATGCACAGAAATTTCCTAGGATGGCTCAGCTTACTGAATTGCACAGAAGCCTGGGGGAAAGTTCATAGCCATGTCAGTGCCGTGCAGAGTGTAGTTAAGAAAAACGGGGGCCCGTCTCCTTGGCTCTTGCAGAGGAAAAGCGCCCAGCTGGCATATGTGCCCAGCTGCAGCAGAGCATTTGATCCTGAAGTGGGTGCTGGGCTCGCTGGGGAAGGGGAGCATAAGTGTCCCTCTTCTCAACCTCTCTGAGCAATCTCTCTGACCATGCTGGGTTTGTAGATTGTGTTTCAGATCCTGGAAGGAGCCTGGGCCTTGCAGCAAACAGTAGGGCACAGAGGTGCTACCACGGGGGCACCATGCCTCGGTCCCCCATAAGAGTCTACCAGTAAGCCCCCTCTTTGCCACGGCAGCTATCTGCAGCAGCACAGTGGGCATGTGAAAGTGCACCATGATTTAGACTGTTTTTTCATGGCTGCAACTGATGACAAAAGGCAATGGGGAGTCTGGCTCTAAGAGTAGCAAGCTCACTGTGGCACTGGCTTTCTGCTGACTCCAATTTGCATGAGAAACAAACACTGAACACTGTGGGGTTTTGGTACCAAGCTATAAATATAACCTTCACTCAACTCAAAGTACTTTGTTTTGTTATTTCTCCTTCAAAGCATCTGCTGTTTCCTATTGATGCCAAATGGATTAATTGTATACAGCAACCAATGAATAAATAAATAACAATAAACTCCTTTCATCAGAAGAGTATAGCCTTTTATCTTCCGTCTATCACCAGAAAAAGGGGAAGCAAAAGGCTTAGCTCCCTAAAGAAACACTGAAAAAGCCCTTCTTTTCCTGAAAGCTAGTTTTGATCAGGTTATCTAATAATTTACCAAGGTTACTTAAGTACATCGACTGTAGACAGATTCTCCACGCTTAATCCAACCCCATTCACATTCAAACCTCTCTTGCTGATGATTCAACAAAGTAACAGAACAATCTAGCAGTGATTCTCTTTATATTTAGCTGTGATATATAATTTATTTTAAATATAAATTTTGGAGTAAAAACCAAATAAACAATCCACAAATTTTCCTGCCATTTTCATCAAATCAGATGTAGATTCATAAAAATCAGTATGAGCTAAGGTGGGAAAAATATCATATTATCTAATTCATTAGTCTGGAGTGATACTGGGTTGATGTTGACTGTGAAAGGCAAAGCAGTATTTTGACTTTTTGTGTCTTCTGTAACACACAAGAATAATTCATGAATGGGACTGTGAAAGGAAAGGAGCAACTACTGCACATTCAATTCCAGACACTGAGCCACCAGAATGCTTTCTATAGCTATCAAGAAAAGTTTAGCTGCTCCAGGAATCAAAACAACAGGTTATCATAACAGTCAAGATCTTCTTCTAAAGACACAGTTGTGCAAAAAAAGTACACACAGATATGCATGGCAGAACTTGGCTGAACACTAAAGCTGAAACATTCAAAAATGAAGTTTGCAGAATTCTGTTAAAATGATACGTTATTACTTCAATTTTCTTCTGTAAAATACAGCAAAATAGTGTTGTGAGACGTATTATTTTATTTCTGGAGGCACTTCAAGTTTGAGTAGATAATGCAAGTATTTATTGTGTGTTCAGATTCAGAAAAAGCAGTTTGGTTAGGTCAAAACTGTGGTTCTTCCTACTTGCTGTGTGTTTGATCTCACATGATGCCAGTCCTGGTCAGCCCTGGTCCAGCAAAGCCTTGACTACCTTCTATAAAATTACTCAGCTGGGTGGGACTCAGACCGTATTGAGACATTTCCACCTAAGCTATCATCTGGATTCTCCTTACAGTTAACGGAGGAAAGGGTATTTCGAGAGTAGAATTCGTCTTGGTGTACGAGTAGACAGTGCGAGACAAATTTCTCGTATGTGAACAGCTATAACGTAGATTTGTAATTCAGACTGCTATGCCCTGGAGGCTAAGGATGCGTTTACACAGCGCGGTGAAGCCAGAGCCCTCGGCCTCGCATGGCTGAGCCCTGGCTGTGGACAGTCCTGTAGGCAGGACTCAGTTCTTGGCAATACTTCAGTGTTCTCTGTATATCCACAGGACACCTGTGTTAGCACCAGAACAAAAGTACTAACCAGTCAACACCTGCCTACTTAAAAAGGTTTTCATGCTGTCTCCGTATGGAAATAATTTAAAGAACTCATGTGAGTCAACATAGACATTTGGTTTCTTTTTTACACTTTAAGCTTAACTACAGTGGATGTATCAATAAAAGGAGTGTGGTTGCACTGAGTTTTAGTATTTCAAAATATTTTAATATAAGAACCTACACGATAAGTTCATAGGCAAAAAATTTCTCATCCAAGATATTCAATTAATGCTGATTTGAATACACAATTTTTGAAATTATATATAGGTTCTGAATGTACAGTTCTTATGAAAGAACAAGCATTTAAGGGTTTTAGTATTCTAGTTTGAAAATCTTACTTTTGAAGAGTATCAGGATTGTTTTGAGGCATTCATAAATGGGGAAACTGATACTTTGCTGTATAATTTGTAATTTTTGTAATTAATTTTAATTAGTATGCATTTGATATTTTCTGCACAGATACCAGTCCTGAAAAAAATTACAAATGTATTAGAAACTTTGCTTGAAACCCTGGAACAGGCTGTTACAATTTCAAATGCTGAAGCATAAACACTGTATCTACAGATTGATTCATATATTGCAAGTAAAAATATATTAATAATTTACTGTAAGTTTCTATTTCCAAGCATCTGGGATCTGTACAAAAATAAAAGCAATTATTAAATAGAAGTCTAACGGCCCAGAAAATGCATTCATTTTTAAACGCTGGTATGGAAATAGAAAGAAAACAGACTTTAGAAGGAAAAACATTTCTTGCTGAGGACAAATAGATCAGGAAAGAAGCAGAGATCTCCAAAACAGGAAAGCTGTGATAACACTAAAGATGTTATTTTGCTCTCTGCTGCTAAATATCATAATCTCCTGTTAACATTTAGTATGTTCTTACATGCTTATAGAGGGATATGCACTTAAATCATATACAAATGCATCAGGTGACAGTTTATTTTTTTAATGTCTTCAACTCTCTGGACTGGCTCCCTCTCGTGGTTAACGCCAGCTTTTTCTTTGGGAAAAAAGTGGGAGAGGATAATTCAGAGGCAATAAATAAACAGTGGAGGGAGATGAGGGTAAGAAAATAACAGGAAACAAGTAAGTGGAAATCTAATAATTATAATAAATATAACATAAAACCTGATAAAAATAACTGGATTTCAATCACTTTTATTACCTGTCTCATAACAAGAACATCAGATGAAACTGACAGCAATTGAGGATAAATGTGAAATGTATTAATGCTGCTGTTCTGTAACGCTGCAAGGACTTCCATGGGTAACAGAGGGGGACAAAATTTAGGAAGTTCAAGGCAATGATGTTTCAGAAAACAAATTTTGACAAGCTAGTAATTTCAGTATTTTAGCTTTTAAGCTAAGTGAAATGTAACAAGAACTATCACGTATAATCAAGTTACTCTGTGATTGTCTGCTGCAGAATTTCTTGTACTTTCCTCTGCAAGTCTAGTTAAGTACTGGCTGCTCAACTGGTAGGCCTTGAGTCTGGTCAACGATGATAGCTCATGGGGCACAAATTAAACTTTCAATTTCACCTTAAGTTTCATGATCATGTTCAAGGGAAAGGACAGATGGTCCTTTGAAATAAGTGTTTTTAAAAAGCCCGTTCACCCTTTAATGAGAAACAAGGTGTCCTGAGCTTTCAAAGCTGCTTGGAATCATGTGGCTCTTCGTAATGTGTGAGATGGTAAAGGGCAACTTGGTTTTATCAAGTAAAATAGGAATTAATGTAATATCCTTTTGTGTTTGTGTTGTCTTTTGCTCGCTGTCTTCTAAAGCACCATTATGATGGTTCTTTGCAGCTCCTGTTATTTCTATGCCACCTCAGGATGTCCAGAATTTCACAGGCAATGATGTCATTTTTGGCTGTGAGGTGTCAGCCTATCCTATGCCACACCTTGAATGGAAAAAAAAGGGGAGTAAAATGTTTCTGCCAGGAGATGACACCCACATCTCAGTACAGGTAAAACCTGGGTTTTCCACATGTCATGCAGTTTGGGATGAGGAGTAGGGGGATTAATCAGTGAAATCCTCCTACAGGATACAATAGCGTTGCAATAAATAGATTCCTAATAGGGGGCCCCAGACTATGTAAAGAATTCTGATTTCAGTTAGTACAAGGATAATTATTTTGGCAATCCAAGCAGAAGAAATAACGGGGGTACCACCCAGCCACTTCAGGGAAAGAAAAGATGGAAGATTCTGGAAAAACTAAATGAACATACAAATGGAACTGTTTAGACTTCTATGAAAAAAGAAGGGCCATTTCTGGGAAGGATGGCTGTTGGCAACTGTTTTTCTACTCTTGATGCAGAAGCAAATTCTGGCAGGTATCTAAACTTCTCCTTTGCAAGATGCTGTTTCTGGATACCCGCCATTTGGGTTCAGTCCCTGAGGCATTCAAAAGAAAAGCAGAGAAACTCACTCGACACTGTGTTTTAATCTGAGG